AGGGCTCAGCCTTGCCTTTGGGAGAAACCTCACGCGCTGCCTTCTGTTGTCCCCGGGGCTCCGGCTCTGGCTGCCTCTTCTGTGGTTTCTTCCCCCTTCCTGGCAGGCTTGAGGCGTTTGGTTTCCTTGGATAATTTGTCTTTCCACTTGGAGCAGCAATTTGGTGACTTCGTTACTTTAGGGAACTTGCAGCTTCAGGAACGTGGCTAGGGCCAGGCAGAGCAGTCACATTTCTAGGTATTGGCTCCTGCATCCTGGGAAGGATTTGAAAGAGCAGGGAAGGGCCTCAGGGGCCGCACTACACAGCGGGGCAACTTACAGAGCCTTTCTGAGACCGATAGGTTGTAAACTGCTCCGTGGGATCCTGGTGATGAGATGAGTGGCGCAACTGGCAGATAACCAAGCAGTCCACGTCCTGCTCCATGGAGAAGTCACCAAGGAAATTTGGAGAAATTCACTAAACTATGTGAGATTTGAGATGTTGTGAAACGGTTGCTCCAAGTCTATGTGTTTGCAGGAGACGATGGTGGCAAGGGTCACCTTCCAGCTGCTCTCGTCTCCTAGGGTTGTGACACAGACGTGCAGGAGAAAGTTCCGTCTCTTGGAAGGCAGCCGCCTTCGCAGCTCTCGTCAGCTGTGTGGCAACAAACCTGCCTTGACAGGCAAGCGAGCCGGCGACTGTCCCCTGGCCCCTCTGGCCTTGCATAGAATCATGCACCAGAGAATAGTAACTCTGGTAATCACAACTTCTTGAGCGAAAGGGGAGGTTTTTCTAACCTGGTGGCCTCTGCGGTCGTTGGAGGAAACACACTGAGCTTCTCGCATGTGTCACCCAGTGCTAAATTAACTGTAACCCGGAAGTGGAAGATTTTGGTGCTGCTGTGGGCAGCTTGGACTGTGCGGGTCAGTGGGGGTCAGAAGGAGCCTGAGCTTGTTTTTATTAAAAAATGGGGAGAGAGGGATGCTGCTGTTACAGAAATCCATCTCCAGCTCGCCAGGAGTACTGTGTTTGTGCTTGAAGGGAGTGGGGGAGATGGGCTAAAATGGAAAGTGTACAGAAATGATTAATGTCCAGAAGGCACCGTGCAAAAGCAGAGAGGAGGTAGCAGAGGAGGGAACAGATGGATTTGGAGTATGCATACAGCAAAAGCGCTGAGGGGAGAGAGCGATCTCGGGGAGGCCAGAGCGGAGCAAAGGGGCTGCGAGCCGCGGGGAGCAGCGGCGCTTGCTCCTGGTTACGGCACTCCGCTTCAGCCCGTTCCCGTGCGTTAGGAGAGCAGCAGCTCTGTTGCGTTCGGTCTGTGAATGTGCAGTGAGGCTGGCGGGGGCCGTGGAGACAGGTTCGTCTTAGCCCTGCACGGAGGGGCAGGCAGGAGGCTCGAGGGCTCTTTGGAACTCTCCAAGCTGTGCTCTGCGAGCAAGGTGCTGGGTTCCGACAAGTGGAAGGGGTGATGAACCGTCTTGGCAGCCTGCTCTGCGTCGGGCCTGTGCACAGCACCCGCCTGCCATTGCACTGGGGTTTGCAGACTTCACCAGCACCTTCCAGCCGCCCCTCCTGGCTCCCACTCTTTGGGCTCTCGGACTCCTCTTTCCTTGGGGCTCCTCCTGTTTGTCATGCAGCAGCTCTGTCCCGCAGTCCAGGCTCTCTCCCTGCTATCCAGGTGGGATTGGAGTCCTGTCGCTGGAGCTGCCTGCTGTCAGAAAACGTTGGTGTGATTTCTGCCACCCTCAGAGACCTCTCTGTAATGAACTGCATGACTTAACAATGAAATTAAGTGCTTTAGAAAGAGCCAATAAGCGTTTGCAACAGCAGGAGACACTGGCTGAGACAAGGCCTGGGAAAGCCCCAAACTGAAACCTTTAGGCTTCTCAGGATACGGCTCTGCCCGTCACAAAGGCTGGACTTGAGCAGGATGTGGGAACAAGCCAGGCTCACAGAGTGCCCAGAAATGCTCCTGGCAAAGACAGTGGATCTCATGGCTTTCTTTTTTTTTTTTTTTTTTGTGGAAAGAATGTTTTACCTGGGTTACGGGCAGGGGGTGCTGCTTGTTTCCCAGCAGTGCCCCATGCTGCCTGCAGACCCGGGCTCCCGCTGCGTGCAGGGAGGCTGCTTCTCCCGGGAGCAGCCCATCGGGAACGGATGCAGCCGTGCAGGGGAGGCGCAGGGAGGTCTCCCCTCAGCACTGGCCCTCGACTCTGATCCAGAAGACTTTCAGTCCCAGAGGTGCTCGCAGGAATGGCTGGAGGTAGCTGAGAGTCTTTGATTTATTCTCTTAATTCTTCTCTTTCTGCAGGAGTTAAAGATGGAAGCTGGACTATACTGCAGGTCGTGGAAGCCCTTGGGTAAGAAGAGCTTTTCACATGTTTTGCATCACGTAAGGGGAGATTCCCGCAAGGAGGATGTGCGAGAAGGAATTGTGCATTGTAACAACCTATCCCAGACCTACCCCCGTCCCTGCCCAGCTGTGCTGCCCACACAGGCCTGCAATCCCACTGTCCACTCGTGGCTCTGGGGCCAGGCTGGGCTCTGTCCTCACAGAATCCGAGAGTAGTTGGGAAAGGGCAGGGCCGGAGCAGGTGCCGTGGCAGGCAGGGCCGGGGCACGGCTCCGTGGGGCTGCTGCAGCAGGAGCGCGCGCTGCCGGCTCCGCGTCGCGCTGCCGCTCCCGCCTGCGAGCCGGAGGGAGGCGTGGG